TATGTATCTAGAAATCTGTCCATTTCTTCTGTGATGATCTGAATTACTGCAGGATCACTGATTCCTAATTGCATGAATTTGAGTCTTTCCTTTTCTTGATGAAGTTGGATAAGATTTTACCAACTTTAAATGGAATTAAAAACAATTAATCTTTCAAAGAATAACTCCAATTAATTGGTTCTTTATTTTTTTAGTCTCCACTGTTTTAATTTCTGCTCTGATCTTTATAATGTCCTCTATTTTAAAAGCTTTGGGCTTGACTTGCTCTTCTTTTTCTGGAAGTTTGAGGTTCAATATTAAGTTGTTTATTTGAGCTTATTCTGTTTTCCTGATATGAGAATTTACCGTTTCAAATTTACCTTTTTTGACGGCTTTTGTTGTGTCTCATAAGTTTTGGTGTGTTGTATTGGCATTACCATTTAATCATAGAAACTACCTACTTTAATTTCATCTGTGACCTACTGGTTCTGAGGAGGGTGTTATTTAATTGCCATGTGTTTTTAAAGTTCTTGTGGTTTCTTTTGCCTTGATTTCCAATTTCATTGCACTATGGTGTGATAATATGCATAGGATAATTTTAATTCCTTTGCATTTACATAAACATGTTCTATGATCTAATATGGGGTCTATTTTGGAAAACATCCTGTATGCTGCTGAGAAGAATGTATATTCTGATGTTATGAGGTGGAATACTCTGTGGACATCTATTAAGTCCATTTATTCACAGGTTTCATTCAGTTCTGACTTTTTTGTTTAGTTGAATTGTCTTTTCGTGACAGTGGGTATTGAGGTTTTCCATCACAGTTGTATTAGTTCTTATTTGATTTTTCATGTCCATTAATATTTGTTTTATATGGCTGTTGTATTACTTATTGATATCTTCAAAGTGGTTTCTCAGGAAAACAAATAGAGATGTACAAGATTGATCAAACAAGTAATCATTAACTGTTCCTTTCAGTAAAGTGGTAGAAGACAGTAGCACAACTATGTTAGCTATCCTGTATATACATACTTACATAATTTCCCCTTCTTTCCCTTTTCTTTTCCCACACCCCAGTTGCCCTTTACTTTGAGCATTTTCCTTTCGTTTCACAATGTCTATCATACCTCCTAGTTTTTATTCACTCCTTCAGATCTTACACTAGTGAGACAGTACGATGTTTATACATGCAGGTCTGATTTATTTCACTTATGAGTATGGTCTCCAGTTGTGACCATTTACCTATAAAAGCCTCGAGTTTATCTTTCTTTATAGCTGAATAATATTCCATTATATAAAAGTACAATAATTTTTTTATCCAGTCCTCAGTGGATGGACATTTGGATTGCTTCCACAATTTAGCAATTACAAATTGTGCTGCAATGAACATAGGTGCACATATATCGCTGTGATATGATGTTTTCAGATCTTGTGGGAAAATACCCAGAAGGGGAATATCTGGGTTGAATGGGGCCTCTAGACCTAATTTTCAGAGGAATCTCCAAAATGATTTCCACAGTGGCTTCACCAGTCTGCATTTCCACCGGAGAAGAGTTCCTATTTTTCCAAAGCCTTGCCAGCATTTGTTATTGGTTGATTCCTTATAATGCTTATATTATTCCTTAATAATTCCTTATTACTGGGGTGAAATGAAATCTCAATGTTGTTTTAATTAGCATTTCTTGAATGGCTAATGATGTTGAACGTTTTGTCCTGTATTTATTTACCATTTGTATTTCTTTATCTGAGAAGTGTGTATTCATCTCAGCTGCCCATTTTTAGATTGGGTCTTTGAATTTGGGGGAGCTGATGTTTTTTAATTCTTTATATGTTCTAGATAGAAGACCTTTGTCTGAGGGACAGTCAGCTAAATTTTTTTCCAATTTGTAGGTTTTCTTTTGACTCTGCTGGTGATTTCTTTAGATGTGCAGAAACTTTTCAGTAGGATGAGATCCCAATTGTTGATTCTTTGAAGTAATGCCTCACTTATTTTTGTGTCAAATTCTTTCCCTATGCTTCAGAAGTTTTCTGCCATTACTTCTGTGAACTTTTTTACGTCATTTGTTCTGGCTCCTGCTTTTTCGCTGACTTTGGTTAATCTTATATTCTTCTTCTTTGTATCATTTTGCAGCTGTTGGACGGTCTTTTCATGATCCCTTGCTATTTTTAAGAGATCTTTCTTTTCATGATTGCTAACTGCAATCCTGTTCTAGCTCTGAAAATCTGTCTTCACTTTCATTCATGTGATTTTGCAAACTTTGAATGTAGGTTTCAGTGTTCTGGATATGTGTTTGAATCTATTTTATGGATTCCATTTCTTTGCTATGCTGGGATTCATGGTTTCCATCATTTTCCTATGCTCCTCTTTTTTAAAAAAAAGTCTGTGTCTATTGCACACTTGCTGACTAAGTCTTTCATTACGGTCATCATCTCTTTTTTTCCCTAAGAGATTATTTCTTTTCTGATTTCCTCTGTAGTGTCATGCATGTGTTTTTGAACTTCTGCTGTTTTCATTTCAGAAATTTCAGATGGGTGGCCTCCAGTTTTTTCTACTTCATTGTCTTTTGGACTTGTCTTGGGTGGACTGGAGGTCTGAAGTTGGGTTTTGCTTCTGTGTCTCATCATTTTCTATTATTTTATTTTATTTTTTTCTCCGCTGACTAATAATTTCTCACTAATATTGAAGCCTCCCTAGAAAATGTCTATCCTTCAGAGGTGTCTTCTGTGTATAGGAGGTTCTTTTTTGTGCCAATCCCAAGATGCTACCTTCCCAATTTATTAAGGATGAGATATTGCCATCTATTTGACTGAGCCTCTAGTCCTTTGGTACTGGGTTGTGGTGATGGTTATGGTCGAAGACAGTCACATTATTGTTCTAAAAGGGAGAACAATTGATTACAAGTATGATATCCTGCCTAAAGTATTACAGTTGGCAATAACAATAGCATCACTCATGGCCTACATACTGACAAACTGTGATAACTCTTGATTTGGTATCTCTAACCACAGGGGCAAGGTCTGCAGTTATATAACAAAACTCAACATAAATCAGAAACTTGTATGCAATGAGCTTCTCCCTAGTAGAGTGATTTTGCTCTGTAGTGGGGAAATTGAAGAGATACAGGGGACAAAACAGAGAAAGAGATGAAGAGAAATATAGTTGAAGCAGAGCTGGAGGACAAATGATGATCACTGAAGTTTTGGGAAACTGGAGAAGACAGCTGGAGAGAGAGAATGCAGGAGAAAGCAAAAGATTATTGAAGTGAATCAGAAAGGTTAGGGACAATGTTCACGCACATGAAGATATAAAATCAAGAAAGATAGTTGAGGAGAGAAAGAAGACAAATAGAATAGAACAAAAATATATGTATACACCTAAAAAAGAAAGAAAGAAACCAAACAAGCAAACAAATTAAAATCCAACCAGACAAGAAAAAGGAAATAATATACACAAAGAAAAAAATTCCTCTGATGTGCATTGTTTTGTGATAGTGTCCAAATCAGCATCCCATCAATTCTGCAATAGGGGTAGTGCTGGATTGGTTGTGGGTCTGATCTTGTCCACCTGGTGTGGGGATTTGGCCAGTCTTTAGCTAGCAGCTTTCTGGACGGCTTGCCAACTACTTCTTTCCCTGTTTGTCTCTTCGTTGCTCTCCTAATTGCTGTGGCTCCCTCAAACAGAGACAGCCCAACACTGCTCCTAGTCCCATACACAGTTGAACCCTCCTGAATCCCGTACAGCCTGCTCCATTCCACACCACCGGCTCCTCTCACATCCTGTCCTCCTTGTCTTGTGCTGGTGATTGAAAGTCTGTCCCACACTGATTGTTGCAAGTCAGAGGGAGTGCTGACTTCCCAGCTCAAGGGTGTTTATGCCATTTGTCACAGGGTGGGAGAGCACTTGTTTCCAACTCCTTGTCCCTGCACTGCAGGTTACAGGTCAGAGTTGCTGACTTCCCTGCCAAAGGGTGCTTTTGTTGCTGGTTGTTGATTGCAGGGCAGGTAAGTATTTGTCCTGGCTGCTGTGAAATTGTCCAAGTCCCTCTCTTGTGCTGGTGTTAGGAATTGTGTTTTTCACTAGCAATTCTCAATGCTGTGGCCAGTCCCCAACTTTGTTGTTGCTAAATGTTCCAGTTAATTGTTGTGGTCTTCCACAGAGAAAGAAAAAGAAAAAGAAGAAAGAAAAGGAAAAAAAAAAAACAAACCCAAAAACAACCAAACAAAAAATCGGAGGCCCAACAGGGAGGGTTCAGTTACCCCTGTGTGCCAGTGGAATTTGTTTCCAGGCTGCAGTGTCCTCTGCTTGCAGGAAATCAAAAGAGATGAGGGGCATTATAGTCTAGGTCTATCCTGTGTGGATTGAGTTTGCCAAACCTTTGCCATCTCTCCATTTTTTGTTTGTGTTTGGGGAACTTCCTGGGAATGGCAGTTCCTGCTTTGATCCTAGTCCTGCCAGTGGAAAACCCATAGGCAGCCTGTGGGTTCATTTATCATTTTATAAAGTCCTATGCCTGTTTTGTTTGATCTACAAGACTCTTATTTCAGATTAATGTTGGCATCAGGATGTAAGTCCCTCCCTTTCTTCCAATTATCTATGTTTTTCATTGAGTGCCTTTGAGCACTGCAATGTGAGTCCTCCCTTATTCATCCACGTTCAGGAGTTATCATGTTGTATTTTATCCTCTTGTTCTGTCTTTGATTTTCTCATAGCATAATTATACTTTACAATTATTCTTGTACTTATTTGCTTGCATATATGCAATATTTGAGTATGAATCATTTATATTATACCTATAGTTATTTCCCTTAGCTGGTGTGTAGAGGTGGGATCAGTAAGCTTTACTGAATAAGTGAAACCCTTGAGGCAGGGCCTCTGCTTCTCTGCTGAAAGTGTAGAAGAACATGCTGCCAGTCGGTTTGTTAGTTGTTCAGGTAATAGTCCCTGTCATAGTTCTGTAACTACTGTTTCTTAGAAACAGCTGGTCATTGTGATGCATATTGTAAGAACCACTCAAAGACAGCCAAATACTCTACTTCTGTACTTCCTCTTTGCAATCCCATAAAAACCTCCCTCCATGGGCCTTCAAGGCCTAACATTTTTTCTTGAGGTCTGTGCCCATTGACCATAAATAAATCTGCCTCCAAAGCCTGGGTGTTGCTTTCGTGTTTCTGTTTGCTGTTGTGTCTGGTGCATTGGCCAGGAAGAACTGACCATGCTCACCTCTTTGGTCACCAGTCATGGCCCTCACAGATGGAGCAAGGTCCTCTCCAGGTCCTGACAGAAAGACACACTCTCAAGATTTCTTGAGTCCTCTTGGAGGTCTGGAGGAGGATACTTGGCTCCACGCTAAGTGGCTCACATCAGACCCAAATGGGAAGAGGATGCAGTCTGATCTGGTCATCGGATAAGGTAAAACCCTTGGGGGGGACCCAAGTTAGTCTGTCTGTCAGTCCTGCCCATCTTGGCTAGAAGGAGAGCTTGATCAGCTCTTGTTAGTCAGGACCACCCTTGAGGGAAGGTGGGTTGGAATGTTTAACCTCTGCATACCTGTTCAATGTGTGAGTGAATGGAATGGACAGCGTAAGCCATAGGCTGTTCTATCTATGCACCAAAACTAGGAAGCACTGGTCACAGTGGCCAACTGGGCTCTCACCTATGGTTCCATGGTGATGGACATATGGCATAATGGAGGCCACCTTAGCTAAGCTGCAGCTAAGTCCCTGACTGCAGGACAAAGGACTTTCCTGGTTATTACAAAGTTAAAAATAAAATCAGGCTGCTCCAAGGCTCCCTGAAACTACTGATCCCTGAGCCCAAACAAGACCTGAGAATTCCACCTTGGTAGATAAATCACCCTCAGCTGCCACATTTGCTGCCAACAGTTTCAACCTCCCTCCCTGCTCCCAACTTATCTACTTCCCGCCAGTTGAACTGGTTCCAGTTCAGTCGGTCATTGCCTGCACTGGGCCATAGAGGCCCCCAACAGGGCCTTCTGCTTCGTAGATATCCTTACATGCCTATCCTGGTCAGATGGTATCTTCTAATGGCCACCTGAGATGACTGTTAGCAATTCCTTCTGACTCTGTTCAACACAGAAATATCCACAGTTTGACTGAGGAAAACTGTACTGTCGGCTCTGATGAATGAGTTGCCATGGCCTTTCCCAAAGGTTGCCCTGCCTAGAACCATAAACTCAGTCAAGCACTTCTCAAGGACATAAAAAAGGGGGGTGGACAAAAAACCCGTCAACCACTATTACACAGAAACCTTACAAAAGAAAAGCACCTGATGCCCTTAAGAAAGTCCAGTCTGATAGACCACCATCCCCTCTGCCTAAAAACCAATATGCAAGTTATAAGGGCTGTGGACACTAAAAAAGTGTCCCTTCAGATTAAAAGATAAGGACTCTCAAAAGCGTCCATGTCAATATTGAGGGCCAATTTGTGACTTCTGGTACACAATGAAACTGAACTCTCTGCCTTTGAAAGTCCCCTCTGTCAGGAAAAGTTACCATCACTAGGACAACTACGACTCTTTCCTCTCACACTCTTTGCCAGGTACAAACTTACAGCCTGGGAGGACATCTCACCAAACCTGAATTCCTGTCACCAAGGCAGTCAACCTCCCTCTTGTTTAACCCTACACTTTCCCCAAGAGGAAGATGACACCTGCATCAACCTGAGACAGATATCACAATCGTGAAATTTTGAAAACTCTCCTTCCAGAGGTATAAGCCAAAAACTTGACTCCGAGCTTGACCACCAATCATGCTCCCATAATGACTGAACTCTGTGTTCCCTGTTGACAATATCCCATGTCATGGGAAGCACACATGCATCCAGTCACACTTCAGCCACCTAAAGCATTTTGGGGTCCTGATGGACTGTTAATCACCTTGGAACACTCCTCTTCTGGTAAAAATGCCCAATGGAGATTACCAGCCAGTGCAAGATCTCTGTAGCCATCACCTTGCACTCTATGGTTCCTGACCCAAGCACCCTTTCTGGACTGTTATCTCCAGATGCCACCTGGTGTACATGTCTAGATTAAAAGATGCTGTTCTCTGCTTGCAAGTTGCTACCATAAACCCCTTCAGCTGGGAAAGTCCTGAGACAAGATGCAACTCACCTGGACTCAATTGCCACACCGATTAAGAACTTTCCCACTATTTTCAGGGAGGCTCTGACAACAGATTTGGCCACTATGAGATAGTTTGTTTCTCTGCCCCCTCCTACTTGCTGTCATGGTCCCCTGAGGGGAAAAAATACAATTATACATCCAGAGGCTTCAAAATTGCAAAACGTTTATAGACTATCAAACTGCTAAAACATACCTCTCCTGCCTGTAAAGCCAGTTCAAGATCTCCAAGCTGCCAATGCTACCATGATTGCCCTCCATATATATTGCTTCAGTCTTTTGCCACCCACAGCCTATTGGTACACCTGCCTGGACCTAAAAAATGCCTTTTTCTGCCTTTGATTGGTTCATGTCAGCCAGCCCTTCTTCACTTTTAAATGGAAAGACCCCAGCCAGAAAAACTTTACTCAGTACTCCAGAAGATCCATCTTAATCAGAGCCAGAACTGCCCCCTACTGTGTGTTCTGCAAATTTAAGTCTCAGCGCTGGCACTCATACCCCTGCAGCCAGCTCAGTCTTCAGTGTCTGTGTCACTGGCCCTGACCTCCACCCAGCATGCAATGTAGTGGACTCGTCCCATTTAAAGATATACAGATGGACTTCACAGAAATAAAACTTTACAGGGTTTACAAATATCTGTTAGTGCTCATCCCTACCTACTCAGGCTGGCCCAAGACACTCCCTACCTACACCAAGAAGACAACAGAACTTTGTAGGGTCCTACTGTGAGAAATCCCTAGATATGGCCTACCCCTGATTATTGACAGTGATAACAAGCCTGCATTTGTAGCAGAAGTAACTCAAAAACTGGCAGAGATTAAAGTTTAAATAAAAATTATATACAGCATACAAGCCATAAAGTTCTAAAAGCATTAAAGAAATAAAACATAACCCTACAGGAACAGCTTGTGACCAGTTTAGCTAAAGGACCAGCTATACCTGTGCACACTCCCGCACATACATATAAGCCAGGTGCGTATTAACTACCTGTACAAGTTTCAGAAATCCAGCTTTAGATCCATCATCCCAGAGTTAAAAAGCCCGTTCAGATGGTTGCTGGAGAGTTAACCTGGACCAGATAGCCCCTCTAAAGCTCACTCTAGATAATGTACTTAATGATAAGAGATAATGTACTTAATGCCCTTCTCTGGTCACTCTGGGTGCTGACCAGTCCATGCATGGCTGAAGCCCGAGGATACCATTCACAGTATTGCTCCATACTTCAATGCATTATTCTCCTTTTTTTTTGTAACTTTTAAGGCTGTTTATCCCAGTCCTTGCTTCCACTTGAGCTTGCATATATTGTATTGTTAAAGTTGGTTTTTGTTCCCCACACCCCTGCTAGGTGTGGTTTTTGCCTGAGCTCCAAGATTTAATGAGCATCCAAGATACACTGGACACTCTCTTAGGTCAGATGAACTCCTTTGCTCCCTTGCCACAGTCAACCTAGGCAGAGACTCTAAGGGAAACAAACCACAGTCTTCTGGTGGGAAAACTTTCCAATTGTGAGGACCTGGGCTAGGGTCCATCCTAGGACCACTGACAGCCCGAATGTTATTTCTTCTAATTGGGCCTTGTCTCAAAAGATCACATGTAACATGCCCAGTAAAGATTTGCTGGGAAAACTAAAATGTATTGGGGGGGGGTGGGGGGACAAATGCAATAGTAAACAGAAACACTGGAACAACACCCAGGATTTGGAGGCAGATTTATTTATGTCAGTGGGCACTGACTTCAAGAAAAAATGTCAAGCCTCAAAGGCCCAGGGAAGGAGTTTTTTATGGGGTTGCAAAGGAGAAGTACAGAGGTAGAGTACTTGGCTGTCTTTGAGTGGTTCTTACAATATGCATCATAGTGACTGGCTATGCATCACAGTGACCAGCTATTTCTAAGAGACAGTAGTAACAGAACTGCAACAGGAACTATTAGCTGGGCAACTAACAGACTGGCTGGGGACATTTTCTGCTACAAAAGGAAACATTAAGAGCAGTGACCTCCACACTTCTAATACTGATATCCAGATTTAGCAGAATCCCAATCAAAATATCAATAGCAGGCCTCATAGAACTAGGGAAAACGACCCTAAATTCATATGGACACAGAAGAGACCTAAAATGGCAAAGCAAGCCTGGGTAACAAGGGAAAAGCAGGAGACATCACAATCCAGGATTTCAAGTTATATTACAAAACTCATTGTCACCGGGTGAGACAGATTAAAATTATTATTTACAGTGATAAAAACAGCATAATACTGAATAAAAATAGACATGTAGATCAATGGAACAGAATAAAACATACAGAAACAACTTCAAGCAATTCAGCTACTTGATCTTTGACAAAGGGATGAAAAACTTACATCGAGGAAGTAACAAATGGTACTGGATATTCACGTGTAGAAAATTGGATCTAGACCGATATCTCTCACTATCTATTAAATAAAATAAAAATGAATCAAAGATCAAAATACTAAAACAGAAGCACTTAATATGGTAGAAGATAGGTAAAACTCTTGAAGACACAGGCACAAGTAAGGACTTTCTGAATAGAACATCAATTGCACAAGCGATAACCCAAAATCAACAAATGGGATCATATCAAATTAAAAAGCTTCTGCAGGGGCTGGGGATTTAGCTCAGCGGCAAAGCGCCTGCCTGGCAAGCACAAGGTCGTGAGTTCGGTTCCCGGTACCGGAGAAAAACCATAAAAAAAAAAAAATAAAAAAAATAAAAAGCTTCTGCAGAGCACAGGAAGCAACTGACAGAATGAAGAGACAATCTACAGAATGGGAAAAAATTTTGCAGCTATTCCTTGGGCAGAGGACCAATATCTAGAATAAATAAAGAACTCAAATGTTAGACTCCCCCCAAATAAAATATCTGATCAAAAATAGGCATCTGAAATGAGCAGATACTTCTCAAAAGAAATAGAAAAGGCTCATAAATGCATGAAAAACTGTTCAACCTCTCGGGCCATTGGAGAAATGCAAATTAAAACTACATTGAGATTTTACTTTATTCCAGAAAAATGGCTATCATCCAGAAATCAGAAAACAGCAAATGCTGGTGAGGCTGTAGGGGAAAGGGGACCCTTCTGTATTATTGGTGAGAATGTAAAATAGTATAACCATTATGGAAATCAGCATGAAGTTTCCTCAAAAAACCAAAACCTAGAAATTCCATTCAACCCAGCTAGTCCCCTCCTAAATATCTCCCCAAAAGAGTTAAAAGACATCATACTATATGGATACATGCATACTTATAGAAGCACAATTC